GCCGGAGAAGGAGGCGCAATATCCTCCTGTACCAGTCAGATCTGATTTGACGGTACACGCACACAAAATAATAAAGAATTTAAAAAAAAAAAAAAAATGCAAAATCCTACAACTAGATTTGCTGCTAGTTAAATTCCATAATTATAGCCATGTCATATTTATTATTTAAGATGTGCACTTGATACAAATGCTCAGAGAAAGCTCTTCTAATGAATCTGACAGAACACTGTCTAATACTAAAAAATAAAGTTGAGCACAGACTGAACAAATCCCACAAAGTCTGACTCAGGGCAACCCTCCACTGGTTTTCCCAGGATGTAAATCTTCACAGGAGGAGACTGTATTCTCCCTCACTGTGGCTGGTGGTTTTGAACCGACAATCTTCTGGTTGGGAATTCAACACTTTATTTACAAAAAAAGGGTGGTATATATTGAATCATAAGGTGCCATTAACTGGAGATTTTGATGATTGCAAAATAAAATAATCATCATTTCAACTTTTCTAGTCTTATCTAAATAAACTGATATACAATTTAGGTTTATGTTACAGAACACAAATAACATTTCTGAATGTTTAAATAGAAAACTGGCAGAATTTAAAACTTTTAAGACTTTTTAAAAAATAACATTAAAATATGGCATCTTCTCCATTCTAAATGTCTTTGATTTCCAAGTGTTAAAACCACTGATTGAAGTTCTGGTGACAAAGTGGTTAAGAACTGGACCGCTATGAGTTAATTCTACTTGATGACAATGAGAATGAGTTGCCTAAAAAAGGTCAATAAGAGAGATGCGGGAATCTGCTTCTGTAATGATTATAGCCTTGGAAATCTTAGGGGAAGTTCTACTCTGGTGTCCTATAAGGTTGCTTTATAGTAACAGATTGAGAGCTGACTGAAGCACAGTGATAGACTGGTATGAAGAATTCAGGAGCCAAGGTTCATGGGTTGGATGCTTGGAAAGTTGGAGGGTCAGGGAAGGAGGAAGACCCTCAACCAGATGGACTGACCCAGTCACTGCGGCAACAGGCTCAAGCATGTCAGAGTTGATGAGCACGGCCCAGGACAGGACAGGGCTTAGATCTGTTATTCACAGATGTGTTGTATTCAACATGACAACACCTAACAATCATTATTAGCTATATAAATTACCCTGGAGGTTACGGGCATGATGCCGGACCTGCTTACCTCAAGGAGTAAATGTAACAGCTTACGTGAAAGTGTTTTTGTCAATTGCAAAGCTCTGTTGTTATGAACCGCTGAGTTGAATCCCACTCATAACTGACACTAGTGGGTTTTCAGGGCAGTAAATTCCTCAGAAAGAGGCTGCTTATTTTTCTCCTATGGAGCAGCCAGTGGATTTAAACCCTATGCCTTTGGTTTGGCAGCACAACTCCTTACTGCTAAGCCAACAGAACTCTCCATAAAGCACTAGATAAATGCAAAGAATTACCTGTCGGCGACACCCCACAACATATCTTGGCCCATTTGTAGCTTTAACAATAACTAGATAAAGAAAATGAAAATAATAAATAGTAAATTTAAACAAATACATCAATAGAAGGCTCAATTTTGTCTTCTAAGAAGAAAGTAAATAGTGAACATAACAATACCATTCTAATTCATTAATGTCATTAATAGGAATTTAAAAATTGGAGGGCGTGCTCAGCTCTTTTAATTAAGAATCTATTCCACTTACATTTTTCTTCAGTTAATTGCTTAAGTACTTCACCTACAATCTAAGAAAAAAAGAAAAAAGTATTACATTTCACCAATAGCTGAAAAAGCAAAGCAAATTACCATTATTTCTTATGCCCCTTATTACATTACCTACCTGACCAACACTTTGTAGGGCCTTCAGATCATTTTCAGACTTTTCATACTGCTTGGTAAGTTCTTTTAATTGTTCCCTTACTGAAATGATAATTTGAGTATTTTTAATTGAAGATTAATGTCAGTGAGTCTACTTCACCTCATCTCATTTAAATGTAATTAAATTTATTTCACCTTTTTTATACAAATCACATCAAATCACAGATGAAAGAAGAGCTGTATGTAATGAGAACATGATATGTTTAAAGACAAAACACACAGAGAAAGCACTGCACTTCTCTTTCCCTCATGGACAAGATTTTCAGGTATATTTTCAATTATATTCTTTGTAAATGTTGACCCTTCTTCCACTGGGATTACTCTTTGTCCTTCTACCCCAAATAAGTGAAACGGATGTAGTTCACCAAAGAATCAAGCGGTCATGTTATTCCCTCAAGGAGCCCTGAGGTTAAGAGCTGGGCTGCTAACTGGAAAGGTCAGCAGTTCGAACTCACAAGCCTCTTTGGGGAACAAAGATGGCCAGTTAGTTTCCGTGAAGATTGAGGGTCTCAGAAACCCAATAGGACAGTCCTGCCCTGTATTATACAGTTGCTTTGATGGTCTTCCTTCATTTAGTGCAATCATCCCAGGTTGAGGAATGTTCATAGTGCAACTTCATCAAAGTTTGATGAAGCCCCTTTAGCTCAGGCGGTATGAGAAACTTGAGTACCTGATACAGTACAAGAAATGGGAGGGGGAAACCAAGGAGGGTTATTATGACCAAAGAGCTCTTCTCTTAAGCTTCAGGTCTGATTTTCAGCTCCACTTACAAGTCAACTCGCAGGTCTCACCACTTGCTTTAAGCCTCTTCCTCCCAGCACCCCCAAGCACTCCACGTCCCAGGACTGTTCTTGAATGCTTGCCGGAGAACTAACCCTGGCCTTCTTCTTTCCCAGTCTTCCTCCACTTCCCGGTCCCTTCCCACTTCCATGGCAGAGTCGGGGATGTATACTCTTGTCACTCAGCCCAAACGGAGCCCCTTCCAAGCCCAAAGAGACTCTCCCTCTCAAAGCTCTGGGCTGGATGACAAAGCGCCTTGTCCCCGCACCGAGGCCTTCCCATCCTCTAGACTAGCTTGTTGAGCTCAGCTAAAGGTCTGCTTTTGTCAGAAACAGAAGCGCATCCAGGCACGAGATTGTGTGAACATAAAGGTGCACTCACACTCCTTGAGACGGCCATCGATCTCCTTGTGCTCCAGCAGTTTCTTGCGGTAATCCTGAAGCGCCTTATCTCTAGGGTCCGCCATGATGAGAAGCCGTCGCTCATAGGGGATGCCGGGAATGGCCATGGCCGCCCGGGCGGGGGCAGGGGCGGGGCGAGGAGGAGAACACCCCCCAAGGGGCGTGTCCATAGGATACCACGCCCCCCCGGAGTTGACTGCTGGTCTCCTGATTCCACTTCTCCTTGATAGTGTCTTGACTCAACTAGCACGCCTGCAAGCACCAAAAGAGGCCTTCAGTCACATCATCCCCTGCAGGCTAGACTTGGTAATGCAAGGCAATGTTACTTCCTTTCTGTCCTGAGAACCTTTGGTTTCTGTGGCTACTGTACTGAACCACAAAAGTCGATAATATAACTGAAATGAGAGTGAAGCAGAAATGTTTAATATTTCAAAATAGCTCCGATGGCCTAGAATAGCACAGACTCAGCACAGAACCTCTAAATACAGAGGCAGTAGCAATTTCATTCATTTAATGGATGAAGTACTAAGGATACAACCACTTAGGATCTAGTGAGGAGAGAAAATACAGGAACATAGTGTAATATACACCATAATGCACGCGGCAAATCAGGATGGTATTATAGACAGTAAGGAGAAGAGAAGTCATTTAACACAGATTCTAAGATAAGGAGCCAGCCACACGCCAGACTGGAGAAGAATATTCTGAGTCGAGGAAACAAAAGTACCAAGATTTTGAAGTGAAAATTTGCTTAGCTGGCTTCTAGATAGAGAGGACTCCAAAGACATCAGAAGGTAAAACTATGCAATACAAAATGAAGACCCTGAAATAGGCAGAACTTTTGAGTCTGACAAGCCTGTTTTAAGTTTTCTGATTCTGCACAAATTAATTAATCTCTTTTTATCTATAAAATGAACATAATAATTTTACCTATCTCTTAGGGTTGTAATGAATATAAAATGAGACAATAAGCCTAAAGCTGTTAATGACATCTGGCATGTGGTAAGCAACAATATTGTTGTTGTTGTTAAGTACCCTCAAGTATGATTTACAAAAACTCTATCTATTGAGACCCTTTCTACGAAGATGGCGCCGAAAGCGAAGAAGGAAGCCCCTGCCCCTCCCAAAACTGAAGCCAAAGCAAAGGCATTGAAGGCCAAGAAGGCAGTCCTGAAGGGGGTCCACAGAAAAAAAAAAAAAAAGAAGATCCACACGTCACCCACGTTCCAGCGGCCTAAGACGCTGAGACTCCGACGGCAGCCCAAATACCCCCGGAAGAGCGCCCCGAGGAGAAACAAGCTTGACCACTATGCCATCATCAAATTTCCCCTGACCACTGAGTCAGCCATGAAGAAGATAGAAGATAACAACACACTTGTGTTCATTGTGGATGTCAAGGCCAATAAGCACCACATTAAACAAGCTGTAAAGAAGCTCTATGACATTGATGTGGCTAAGGTCAACACTTTGATTAGGCCTGATGGAGAGAAGAAGGCCTGTGTTCAACTTGCTCCTGATTAGTGATGCTTTGGATGTTGCCAACAAAATTGGAATCATCTAAACTGAGTCCAGCTGGCTAATTCTAAATATAATAAATTTTTCTCACCATAGAAAAAAAAAACAACTCTATCTATCTATGCAATTCTCATTATCCCCTGCACACTTAAAGCCATTACAGCAGTTGCCATGTCAATCTATCTCACAGAGTCTTTCGCCATTTTGCTGACCCTTTTTATTTCCAAGCATGATGTCTCTTTCCAAGGAATAACCTTTCCTAACAACAAGCCCAAAGTATTTGAGACAAGACCATTTTGGCCTCCAAGGAGCATTCTGGTTGCATTTTTCTCCCAGAAAAATGTTTGTTCTTTTGGCAGTCTATAGAATATTCAGTACTCTTCTCCAACACTACAGTTTAAAACATTGATTCTTCCTCTGCCGTCCCTATTCATTGTCCAGTCCTCAGATGCTTAGCTGGTGATTGGAAAGACCATGGCTTGACTCAGATGCACCTTAGTCTTTAAAATTACATCATTGTTCTTCAGGACTTGGGAGAAGCAAACAATAATTTTGTTTTATTTCTTTTTTTTTAAAGAAACATTCTTTTCTGTCAACCTTATTTGAACTTTTTAAAAGACTGAAAAGATAGTTTAATACCTCTCAGTGGTTGTTTGGACCCACTCAGTGATCTGAACATTGGAGGCTGCAGAGTGCACTTCAGGTGCAGGCTGAGCACTCCAGTCTTCAACAGAGCACTGCTGAAAAGGCACAGAGGGCACATGGACACTTTCAGATGGGTCCATGACCTCTGGTTGAGCAGCAGTAAATTTAGGAGCAGGAGCTTTCCAATCTCTGTGACATTTCTCCTTGGTCATAACCTTCCCAGCAGCAGCCTGCTCTTCTTTTCAATATCTGATGGATCTCTGTAGCGGTAGAGATCAGGCATGGCCACTCACAGGTGCTCCTGAGAGATTATGCCATATGCACAGGACATTCTGGGAAACATTCACTGCATCAGACCCACAGAGTGAGCTCCCTTGTTGTTGCATGTGATAGCACTGAGGAGAATCTGTATTATACAGGGCAATGGTGGGGAAAATGTCAGAGGCTGGTGGTCAGCCCTGGGATCAGTAACCATTAAAAGATAAGACTCCTGGAAGGCTGCCTGGATCTAATTAGCTCCAGAAATGAAGTGCCTGGCAATAGGAGTGGCTTCAGTAGCAGCAGCAAACTCCAGCATAGCCCTCTGGCCAGTATCTCTGAATGGTATGACACTGACATCAGCTGAGTTTTTTAAATTTTATTTTTATTATTTTGTGTGTGTGTACTGTCAAATCGGATCTGACTGGTACAGGAGGAGATTGCCTCTCCCTCTCCAGCAAAGCATGTGGTGGAATCGAATTGCGTATCTCTGGGATTGCAGTGCAGTTTCTTGCCACTAGACCACCAGATCTCCCTTATCAGCTGGGTTTTCAATGGCAAGAATAGCCTGAGCTTTCAAAAGAAGCTTCTCCCAGGGCCTCTTCAGGTCTCTGATGCAGATATCACCACTTTTCCTTTTATAGATGTCCTTTTCCTTTTGGAAGTTAATGTGAGTGCCACTCAAGTATGTTCCTGCTGCAGGGAATTTGAGAACATTCTCCTTCTTCATCTGCAGGACATCAAGGACTTCAGACATTGTAGAAGTTTCCCCTTTAATGGAAACCGGGACCCAAATGTCTTGTTGTCTGCTTCCGTGAAGTTCACAACTAAGAAAATTGTAAAACTCAGCTTTATTATGACATGTATGAGGCTGCCATGAGTTGGCTTGGACTTGATGACTGACAATCAGCTTTGTTTCTTTTAGGAAGTTGACTGAGTTTATTGGGGCGCTAAATTGCTCCTGGAGAAACACTGTTAACAGTATACAGTGTACACTATTATTTTAAATTATTCTTTATATTAAGGGAGTTCTAGTCCAAAGGAAATTGCACTGCCAGTCCAAAGGACACATCTGTCTGGTGGTTCAGATTTACCAGCAGCTCCATGAGACTCACTTAACTCTAATAAATTTGAGGTTTTTTTATATTAAGCATCACTATAGAATTGGAACCAACTCATAGTTTATTTACTTCAGCAAGTTTTTAGAGGCTATAAATCATATGGGAAGATAATTGTCCATCTTTTTCCCAGAAAGCAGCTGCTTCAAATCACCAGCCTTTGAGTTGAGAGCATAATTTCTTATCCACTAGGCTATCAGAGCTCATAATAAGCATAGTTGTTAGGGTTAGGTGTATTCACATAGACTCCAACTCACAGTGGCCCTAATGGCTGTTAATTCTTGCTCAATCCTGTACCATCCATAATATGTTATGCTCAAGCCCATTGTTGCATTCACTGTGTCAGTCTATCTTGTTGAAGGTCTTTTTTTCTTTTGCTGATCTATTTCCCCAAACATGTTGTTTTTGTCTAACAAATGCTCCTCTTGACGAGATGCCCAAAGTCTGAGTTACAGGTCTTCTTTACTATAGGGTGGCCTAGTCTGTAGAGAATACACTCTAACAGTACACTGTATACTGTTAACAGTGTTTCTCCAGGAGCAATTTAGCGCCCCAATAAACTCAGTCAACTTCCTAAAAGAAACAAAGCTGATTGTCAATCATCAAGTCCAAGCCAACTCATGGCAGCCTCATACATGCCATAATAAAGCTGAGTTTTACAATTTTCTTAGTTGTGAACTTCACGGAAGCAGACAACAAGACATTTGATTTGCAGCACAACTTGATGGGTTTGAGCCTAAAACCTCCCAGTTAGTAGTTGAGTGCTGTTTGTGTCGCTAAGGGAAAATTTCCCCAAAACAAGCTGCAATTAATCTCATCTTATCCAGTGACCCTGGAGCTCTGGGGGACTTACAGTAATAAAGAGTTATACTGCCAACCTTAATGCAAGAGGTTCAAATCCACCAGCTGCCCTGTGAAAGGACAATGGGCAATCTTCAACCTTGCCATTCACAACCTCTAAATAGCCCCTGGAGGGTCAGCTACAAGTCAGTTCTTACTTGACAGTACACCACCACAGTAACATTCAGTGACCCTGGTTATTTGAGTTAATATAGGTAGATCTGGTGGCAGAGCATTATGAAGATGGGGCAAAACAGGCAAGGTTTAGACCTGTCGTTCTTGGGGTCACTTGATGTCCTCTAACAACAACAAGAGCATGGAGGTCTAGTTCATAGGGAATTGAGCTGTTAACCCAAAGACTGCCTCTCTGGGTTGTGAATCCACCAGCTGCTCCAAGCAAGAAAGATGGGTGATCTCCATGTAATTACAGCCTGCAAAAACCCACTGGAGGGTCAGCTACAAATCAGTTAGGAATTGATGGCAATGAATTGAATTTTATATATGTGTGCACGTTAAGGAGCTCTGGAGATGTAATATATTACGTGTTCTGCTGTTAACTGAAAGGTCAGTGGTTCAAATCCACCAGAGTCCACCAGCTGCTCTGTGAAAGAAGAAAACGAGCAATCTCTTCCTGTAAAGATGTCTAGCCTTGGAAATTCATTGAAGGGTTAACGATGAGTCAGAATCAACTAGTCCATAGTGGGGTCATGGTTTTATTTGATACTGTTGTA